ATGGATGGACAATTGATCATTTTTCTTCTGGAAATGGCATGAAAATGAAGAAGAGAATTAAGAGAGAGGGTTGAAGTGACCCAAGGAAAATATCATGGAAGGTGTATATTTTGATGAAATCTCTGATTTTATCAATATGTGCTGTGGTTTCATCCATAATTTTTTTCTCAGAAACATAAGGAAAGTACTGCCCTATATGTAATATGTTGTAGAATTCCAGACTGGTACTAATTACAACTATAATGTCTCTGAGTAGATTCCTTCCCCCACCCCCACCCCCCGAAATGGACACCAGCTTGCTATATAGGAGCCTCCTTTTACCTTGTCAGTGTCCCAGAAAACATATTGATTGCTATGTAACTTTCAAAGATTTATTATATCCCTTTAACCATATAAACTTTGATGACTTCAAACAAAAAAGGGGATCTGAGGCTTATAAACATAAGAGTAGAAAGAAGATAGTCGTAACTAGTCTGTTTTGCAGCACAACAAATATTACCCTAACTGAAATTCAAGATTGACATGCTTTCCCTCTTTTCTATGCTAGTGCCATGGATTATGGGATGAAGATGATGAAGGTGAAAGTTGCAGTAGTAAAGAGGAATATGGTGATGAGCTCTCACTGACGGGAGGCAGGAGAGATTCTGCTGACTCTTTAAAGTCAGTGAACCTTGCAGCTTCTGTGGAGTCCATACACGTCCACTTCCCAGAACAGCAGACTGCTATCAGGAGGAAAAGTTCCAGCAGTGGATCCCAACTTTCACACAGATCCAGCTTCTCCTCACAAAGGTCAAAAAGAGGTATGTGTTAGAGTACTACTAGAGCCTTGCAAAACACTTTCTCAGTTCTGATTAGATGATTCTAGTGAGACCTTGGGTGTATGTCTGTGGAGAGCTCAGAAAATACTTAACACAACTGCTACTTTAAGTCTAGGAAATATGTGAGTCAAAATATTGGACACCTACACAGATGGGCCCAGCCCAACACCAACATGTGAACTAGTCTCATCTTGGATGAAGTTCTGATCAAGCTCCATATCCAAGCTCTACACCCAGTGCTTTCCCTGTAATTGTTGGAACTAAACATTCCAAGTCTGTGGGAAGGTCCAGATCCAAACTTTATGTCTCAACGCTGTCTCTAGTTAGCTGGAATTCATAGTGAACTACTACTACTACTTTTCTTTAACATCTGACTTTATATGATACCTGAAATGAGAACAGTATTGGTTTTTTTACATTGGATCAGACTACCTTCCCTATCTCCTGAACAGGAAGACTTTACTATAGTTTAGAGCTATATTGATACAAAAATATTTACCATATTGGCAACTGAAGCAGGCCAGTCACATATTAGTTTAGGTATCAACCGCTTCGTTTTTTGTAGTCATATTAGGTCAAGGTTTGATTCCACCTGTTGTCAAGTCTGTATCAAACATTTAAGACTTTGTTAAATATGTATATATTTAAAAAGCATAAGACTTCATTAAAAAAACCCTTAAATGTGCAACTTATTTACATGGCTTATGCACTGTGATTTTATTCTCTCTATTTTATCTAAATTTTGATTTTTAACTGAATGCTTCTTTCTCTTTTCTTCCCTCATGCTCATTCCCAGGGAGCACCAGTACACGAAACAGCAGTCAGAAAGGAAGCAGCGTATTAAGCATCAAGCAAAAATCTAGAAAAGAGCTGCTTATGGAAAAGTTTCGAGAACAAATGATCAAAGCAAAGGCATTTACAATTAAAAAGTGAGCAGCTTTTCTCGGGGGGAGGAGGGAAAATATAGAATTATAGTGAAATAACTTTTTTAAGGAACTAAAATAACTTTTAACTAAAAATAGCATAAGTCATAAAAGTAGAAATGTATCAGAGGACTAAATGATTCAGTAGATTGATGATAAAAACAGATGCTTTCACTCTAGGTCACCAATTCACACTAAACAAGACAACAGTGGTACTCAAAGTCCATTTGAAGGCTAGTTGTCCTGTGTAAGTGAATTGGTGAACTAAGCGAATTTCTTAGTGGGCAAATGATTGCAGAATATTACAAAAAAGGCCAACACAACAGGTAATAACTGGTTTCTGTAAAGCACCATGGACCCCAAAAGTGAAGTATATAACTAAGCCCCTTCTTTTCAAGTAAATCTAGGAACTTGAATTCAAGGTACAGTACTTGTCTTAAATCAGATTGTGGTGTATGTTGTTTCAGGACTCTTCAAATATATGTGCCCATCAGACAGTTTTTCTACAATCTCATTCACCCAGAATACAGTGCTGTGACTGATGTTTATGTGCTGATGTTCCTCGCAGATACTGTGGACTTCATCATCATTGTGTTTGGGTTTTGGGCTTTTGGGGTATGTTAAAAGAATCCTGTTCTCTAAATCCTCTTTCAGAATCTTGGCCATAATTATGAAATGTCAGGTGGAATTTATTATCCTGAAGTTATTGTAATGTTTTCCTTCCTAGAAACATTCTGCTGCAGCCGATATCACCTCTTCATTATCAGAGGACCAGGTACCAGAGGCATTCTTAGTGATGGTACTCATTCAATTTGGGACCATGGTTGTAGACCGAGCACTGTACCTCAGAAAGACTGTCATGGGAAAAGTTATCTTCCAGGTCATTCTTGTTTTTGGGATACACTTTTGGATGTTCTTTATCTTACCTGGAGTGACTGAAAGGTAAACCCATTAAAAATAAAGCAATAAGAGTGGAATAACATCATTTTTCAAATTTATTCCTAATTTAATTTCAGTGCATTACACAGCTTTGCTGGACCCCCCCAGCAGACCAGGGAGACCGGAAGAAGCTTTTCTCACCCCAGAGGACACGGGTGGCGACCCGCCGCCCATGAGCTCTGGGGCGGGAAAAGCCCCGTTCGTAAGTGCGGATCCGACATAAGTCGGATCCGCGTAAGTCAGGGACTGCCTGTACTGCAAATATGGAACTGCTTGAATGGGAAAAGTTTGAACTATATGAAAACAAACTGATTTAGAACTGCCTTTAGAGCAATAATTTTGTAGTTAATTTATCATGAAGATCTGGACACAGATTTCTAAGTTCAGTGCTGAGTTTAAGGTAGTAAGAGCTGATGTTATACAAACTTAGGCCATCCCTGCTTTAATGAATGCTTCCTAATAACCTCCCATTTTCTGCAATAGCTCTTTTTTTCCACATACACACCCAACATTAAATACACATTCTTTTTACACATAACGGACAGCTATTGCATATTCGGTCATAATGTGTCCAAATGAAAAAATGCAAACTTTAAATTCCAAGAGAATTGCATTGTATCTTGCAAATGATGATGGAATAGTTTACTGAGGGGGGAAATGGTTTATTATATGTGAAGAATTCAAACAAATCAATTAGAAAAGATAAAAATCCTCCCTCTTGCTTAAAAAATGCTCTTGAATGTATTTATTATATTTTTCCGAGTGCAATAGTAATTACATCCATGCTGGACTAACACTGCTATTCTCCCAATGACCTCCTACCTTAGAAGTTACCAGGCATTGAAGAGGAAGAGAAAAGAAAAGTTTGGGATTGTTAGTTTAATTCATTACTTAAAAGGCAACAAAATCCCTCTTGAACTTTCCCTGCCTTTAAGAAATATGTATCTCATAATACTGATCTTGAATCTTCATTTGAAACCTGCCAAGGTCAAATTTAAATCAAACTGTTTTCTGTAAACCCATAAAAGTTCCTTATCTACAATAGTTTTCTGAACAATGTATTCAAATGACTGAATCATCCAAACACTGTCCTGGGTGAGGCATTCACAGCATGCTGCTGAGCTGCCATTATGCTTAAGCACATTCCAAGAGAGACTGCTCCACTTTTGAGATGCTCACCTAAGCTGCTCCTGTCCAATTGACTGAACAGTTTACGTGGGCTACATCAGCATCCCTGGTAGCTGAGAAATGGATGGAGCTCAATCTTCATTGACTCCCACACAGTCGAGGGATCCTGGTCCCCCTCTCTGACTCTTATCACAAGAGGTATAGTAATAGCTGCAGGCCCCATTGGGAGAGAGGCAAGACCAGAATCCACAGTGTTGCTTGTGGAAGGGTGAGTAGCTCATTTGCATGTGTACCATGACCATCCTGCTGCAGCTTCACATCTAGCTGCTCCAGGAATGGATGTGGGTTCCCTTCACCCTCCATTAGCACACTGGGTCTGCCACAGATTGATTTGGAGCAATGAACAGCAGTTGAAACAACTGTATAGTGCTATTGTGTTGCTTACAGTCCTGCTAACGCGAGTCAGGATTTAGATCAATTATACAGAGCAGGGGTGGGAAACCTCAGGCCCGGGGGTCAGATGTTGGCCTCAGTTGGCCTAGATACAGCCCCCGAGGCCCAGGGCTCCCCCCACTCCCAGCACTGGGGAGTCTGCGCCTACTGTGGTACTGGAGCACACAAAATCTACTAGCCTGGGCCCACCTAGGCTCCGGTGTAGGAGCAGAATGTGGGGAGTGTCTTTCTCTTTCCCAGTCAGGGACCACGTAAGTGAGGAGGTGTTTGGGGTTTGTTTGTTTGTTTTTTTTTTGTCTTCTCATTTGTGTGCAGCCCCTGACTGACTTTTCTGTGAGGCAGCAGCCCCCAATGCAAAAAATATTCCCTATTCCAATATAGATCTTTGTTACTAAATAGCTACGCTCTCTGGTGTAGTTTTTCTCTTGAGTTGGGTGATGGTCATAGAGGCATCTGAAACCAAGAACTAATTTCATGTTTTCAAAAATGAGAAGCAGAGCATTTTTGGATTAAATTTTGTAGAACATAATTACAAAGCTCATCCATTTTTTTCTTACCTTTGCATTGCAGGAAATTTAGCCAAAACACAGTTGCCCAGCTCTGGTATTTTGTGAAATGTGTTTATTTTGGTTTATCTGCATATCAGATACGTTGTGGTTACCCAACCCGTGTTCTTGGCAACTTCCTCACAAAAAGTTACAACTATGTAAATCTCTTCTTATTTCAAGGGTAAGTGTTTTCCCACTGTGTCTCATCCATCCGTGCATATGTAGTCTCTCAGAAGACCTCATTATTCATGACTTTGTTCTGCAGGTGATTGCAAACAAATGACAATAAAACCTTTATTGCACAGCATATCATCATAACACTACAATATATACTGCACATATTAAAGACAAATAAAAGTTTTAGAAACATTATCAGCCTTTCAGATCCATGAGACTTCCTTGTCATGATCCAAACTATACAGACTTCTAAAGAGAGAGAAAAAAATCTCATTTATTTTTAGAAATTCCAACAATTACCTTACATAGTTTACATAAAAACATTGTCCTGTGTCTCTGGACCTTCCAGGACCAGAAGCAAGTGGAAATTAGAAATTTTGGACTCTCCACTTTTCTGACAGTTTAAAATGCTCTTTCTAACCTTGAAAAGCAGTAAAATGTCTCACCTTAAACCTATTACTGGAGTCGCACATCACACCAAGAGTCTTGAGTGAGAAATTACATGTGGAAGTGGTAAGGAAATATTTGTTGTAGTAGAAAGGTTCTTTTTTTTAACAATAGTGTATCTCAACCCTATCAGAGACTTGAAATATTACTAGTTATCCTTCAAGAAATGGGTCAGTGGGCAGAGCTCAGGTGAGAAAATAAAAGTACACGATACTCTCTATGCAGCGCATAAATATTATTATCACATATAGACTGTGAGCTATAACATGGGTCACATATTATTTTTATGTAAAACTAGTGATAATTTTTTAAATATAAAAAATATGGTGAGATGAATCATGCATTTTAAGGCTACATACAAACTTGAGCCTATTAAAGAAGAACTTTCATTTTGGAGAGATTCAAATTTAAACTTGTATAAATTTTGGTTATATTTTGGTTGTCTTTTATACTTTGTTTACCACTAATGCTACTTATTAATAATGACTGTGTGTCTGAAAAGTCTTGGGGTTCTGTGCTTGCCAGCTAGACAGTTCACAGCATAATCAGATTTATCAAAATGCCTTTGTTCTAATAATCCAGGCTTTATTCCAAGATTATTAGTATGTCCTGGTTACAGTCCAGCTAGAAAAATCACAGAAATAACTTTCCTCACGCTATAGCAGTGTTTCTGGTTTGACTGGGACTAGGAAGAAGAAAGTGGTAAGGTGGGTAAATATTAAATAAATCAGTTTAATTAAAATATTTTGAAAAGGTAACCAAACAATTTTAGAACCTCAGAAAGTATTCAGATTGTGCAAAAGCTATTTGGCATACTCACAGGCTAGCTTCTCCTGTTTGATCCTGCAGTCATGTCATAAGGCCAGGTTCTCTACATGGTGACAGCCTGCACCAGTTTGGTAGTGCAAAAGCACCAGAAAGCAAATGTCCAGCAGAGAATTTTCTTCTAGGGGAACTGCAATCTAGTCTTATATTCACTTCTTATATTCCTCTCCCGGTTTAGGAGATAGAGCAGGCAGAAAGAAAGAGGCTTTGACACATGAGAGAATCTATTTTAAAAATTGCATCTGTGCACTGCCATTATATCCGTGAATGCTCACAAGTGGCATAAGTGCATTTTTTACTTCTCTGCGGGATCATTCAAATATCATAAACATCAGTACCCAAGGAAGCCCAGAAAATGACTAAGTGCAATTGTTTGCACGCTTGTGTTTTCTATTCCTGAGACACAACCACCTCCATTAAGTTTTAGCATGTGTGTAATTTTCCCACACATGGTGTAAGACACTAAGACACACTAAAAGTTGTCTGTATGTAAAATTGTTCCTCTACTATACTCTCTCTCCTTCTAGGTTCCGCCTGGTTCCATTTTTGACTGAGTTAAGAGCTGTGATGGACTGGGTTTGGACTGATACCACTTTGAGCCTTTCCAGCTGGATCTGTGTTGAGGATATTTATGCTCATATATTTATCCTGAAGTGTTGGCGAGAGTCGGAAAAGGTAAGAATGCCAGGCAAGGGATTTAAGCTTTTGATTAAACCCAAAGTTAATTGTGGCAATAATGAACAAAAGCTGCCAATATGTAAATTTCTAAATAAAAAAAAATACACAAGCCTGCTGATGGAGGTACAAAAGGAGCAGTTGCCCCGGGTCCAAACGACTGAAAAGAACCCAGGGCTCCCAGCTGCCACTACCACAGCAGTGGAGATGGCCAGAACCCCAGACCCTTCTGATCGCAGCCAGAGCACCATGTGGCATGTTCTGGGCAGCTCTGAGGGCTGGCGGAGGCAGGGGGCGCATTGCACTCTGGGTGACACTGAGGATTGACTGCCCTCGCCCTGCCCCTTCTACCTGAGGTCCTGCCCCTCTGGGAGCACAGAGCCAGGCTCCCACAAACACACACTTTGCCCAGGAAGCCAGCAATTCTGTCAGCCTCCCCTGAAAATATATCAGAAGGCCACATTTCATGTGCAAAAAAAAAATGTTCATGCAGTTGTGTGCCTTTGTCTGGGTGCACTGACTGCAGATGAAAAAATAAATGGCTTTCTGGCATTTAACTTCTTGTTGGTGCCTAATTTTCCTTTCATTCATATGAGTTCTATATAAAATCATGGTAATTTGTGCCTGCAAACAGAGATACTCAATTGTAGACACAGATTTTGAGGTGGTTTTAAGAATAAGACATGCTAGACAAATGATCTCAGGTTATCCAGAGTTGGTGGAGGAATAGCCACACTACTGGGCCATATCTACACTACAAATTATGTTGGAATGCTGCCTCTGCAATTCATGTATCATTCATGCACATGTATATTTGGCTGCTTGCATTAGTGCTGTGCATATTCATTGAGGGTATTTGTGTCAGTTCAAGCAGCAGTGCACTGCAGGTAAGTATTTCAGTATGCCATGTGCCCCTATCTTGTGCATTGCCTTCTGGGAAGTTTTCACAATGTACTGTGGGATAGAAATAATTTCTCCAGGAATCTCTGGGAGCTAGGGGTCAAGTTTCCAGAATGCAACTTTCTCTGTTCCATAATGCCATTCACATCCCATAATTCTTGCTCTCTCTCTTAAAATCTACAAACCTGCATGGCACTGTTTGGTGTCTGCTATTTCTGAGAGAAGCCAGCATTCCAAAGAGCTCTGTGCTAGTCTTGTGAATGTTGCAAACACAGGATACGTGATTGTCAAGTAGTATTGGAGCCGCAGGAAGAACTTCAACAGTGGGAGACACAAATATTTTTGATGCCAGCTTGCTAAGCAACATAGCAAAAAAAATCAAGGTTGCTTGTGGTATTCATGGAGTTTCAGACAATGGAGTACTGCTTCTGAGCTTGAGAAACAAGCACTTGACTGGTGGGATTGCATCATGACGCAGGTTTGGGATGACAAACTGTGACTACAGAACTTCTAGATGGGAACGTCCGTATCCCTGAGCCAGTGTGCTGAGATACACCAAGATCTCCAATGCAGAGACACCAGAATAAGAGCTGCAATGACAGTTGAGGAGCAAGTGGCAGTCACAACTCTGGAAGTTTTGCAACTCCAGATTGGTATGGATCTATGGGAAACCCACAGTAGAAGCTTTCGTCATGCAGTCGTGTAAAGCCATTAGCCATCTCCCTCTATGCAGGGCTCCCTTTCCCTCTATGACTCCTGGCAATGTGCAGGACATAGTGGATGGATATGCAGCAATGAGGTTCCCAAACTGCAGTGAGATGATAGATGGCATGCATATCCCGGTTTTTGCACCGGCTAATGTTGCCACACAGTATATCAACAGAAAGGACTACTTTTCTATGGTTATGCAAACATTGGTGGATCACCAAGGATGCTTTGCTGATACCAGTATGGAGTGGTCAATGAAGGTACATGATGCTCACATCTTCAAGAAAACAGAGATTTTCAGAAAGCTGCAAACATGACATTCCTTCCGGATCTGCAGATTACCATGGGCAATATTGAAATGCCTCTAGTGATCCTGGGAGATGGTATCTATGCCTCACTTCCCTGGCCCATGAAGACCTACAAAAGCCACCTCGACTGCACCAGTGAAAAATTCAACTTCCAGTTCAGTAGGTCCAGAACAACTAGGGAATGTGCTTTTAATAACCTGAAAGGATGCTGGTGGTGTTTACTCAAGATTGGATCTCAGCAAGAAATATATCCCAATTGTTAGAACACTTTAATAGTCAGCTACGTTAATGTGCTATGTCAGTGGTTTTCAATCTTCTTTCATTTGCTGAGCCCTAAAAATTTTTGAAGGAGGTGCACTTTGGAAATCTCAGACATCGCCTGCAAACCACAGATTGAGAACCATGTCCTATGCTGAACTTCATCCTGGCTCTGAAGGTTTGTGAACTCTTAGAAATTGTATGTAGTCCTTGGTGTACATTTTAAAACATAACATTGTCTGTGTTAATTATATATTATATTATTCTGTCTTTGCTATGCATTTATAATTGTTACTGTTTTTCACTGAAGTTATGAATTGGTGTGCTGCTTGCTACATATTTGCTCATCTGATGGAGTGTTTTGTTGAATCTGAGTCTCATGGTGCTTGAAGTACTGCTAATACTCACTGCACTATGTGTGGTGAAGTAATAAAGTTTTATTCTCAAAACACAATTTTATTTACTGGGAAAAATGCAAATAAAAAGGATAGTACAGTATAAACGTAGAACAGAACATTAAGTTTAGGAAGGCAACAAACATTTCTATCCATTTCAGCCAACAAATGCAGTCCGTTCTGGCTATACATACACCATCTATACCTCTAATACGTAAGCATATGTAAAACTGTTCGAAACCATGGAGTGATAAAGGTTGGAATGCGCCCCATGGTTCCATGCAAAATGTTGTGGCATGCAGAGAGCTGCAACTGTGGAGTTGTCTAGGGTGCTAAGTGTTATGAAGGTCAACCACAGTTTGCAACATCTGTGTTTGCAGCCTGGGATGCCCCATAATTTCTGGATGCATCTCTTCCTTTTCTTGCTGAGGTTCCTAGATCTTTTTCCTTTTTCTCCTGCCCTCTCTTTGCCTCTCAATGCAATCTGCCATGTTGGCCCACCAGATCCTTTGTTTGTACTCTAATGCATCACTGGTTTTCAGAATCTGTTAAACATATCATCCTAT